CCTCTTGGCTGATCTAAGTCAGGGCACGGATTATTTGCAGATTAAATCAGGAACCCTCACACAAGGGGGAGTCCTAATAACTATATTAGAGTGATCCTTGCATAATAATGACATCATTCTATTTCTTAATTAATAATCAGATCATAGAAAGTGGAGTACCCAACAAATTACTAGTGGAATTGTTCATTCCAGTCCCTGAAATAGGCCGAGTAACTGGCCGCGCTGAGCTGGAGAGCCTGGAGTTTAGTAGTAATCAGATGATCGCATATAAACATGAAGGTGTAGGCAGTGGTAAGTTGTGCGAATCTTGCCTCATTCCCTTTTTAATGGTACTCCTCTTCTCCAATCAGGATCAAGTAATTTAGTTTAGTGCATTGAGGGAAAAAACTTGTCCTGGGACCCCCATAGTTGCTCTATACTTCATTGTCTTGCTGCCATGCACTTCCAGTGTTGTTGGTCCTTGTATTGTAGTGGTTGATGCTTCAGACTAGAGTATCAAGTACCTCCAAAGACATATGGTATTTTTCAAATATATATATATATAATATATATATAGACAAATATATGTTAGGAATGAACTGTAGGGGGTGGGACAACAGTGATGTCTACGTACATTTGAAAGTAAAATGTTCCAGTTTCAAGTTTTTTGTTTCCCAGGGTTACCCTCAATTTTGTTTAAAATATTTACGTGTTCCAGTGAAGGTCCATGGAATTTTAAAATATTTGCATTGTTGAAGTTGTGCATTCTTTATTTATGAATGTTTTGTGAATATTTTGACACTGAAAAGAGTCTAACCCTGAGTAAATGAGTCTATAATCAAGGAACACAGTGGTAATGAGAATTCTATCAAGGTCTATCGTGGCCTAGTTTGATTGAAGCTTATCAAACCTTATTTCTAAATTTCCAATTTTTCCTTGAATAGGACATGTGATCAACCTCGGTATCCCCAACAACACAGGTGAACCACCTTTCTTTGACCAGGAAATCTTGCTCACATCAGGTTACCTGTTGACTGGGGTGTCCTGGGCACTAGATAATGATGGTCGGCCCATGGCTCCTCCGTTATCCTTGACCGGCGTTGACAAGAGCCTTAGGTAAGCAAAGAAATTATATTTTGATTTCATTGATTTTATCTATTTTTTCAGATTCTGATGTAACTCATCAATTATTTTGAGACCCCCATTTTCTCCCCCCCCCCCCCCCGGATATATAATGAGCGGCCCCCTATTTAATAAAATTATTGTTGGCAATTGATAATAACTAAAAATATTTACCAAAACTACAGATTTTTTACATCTTCATACGTCATCATCATCATTATCATCACCACCACCATCATCACCAACAGTACCACGACCAGCAGCACCATCATCATCATCATCATTTTCATCACAACCAACACCAGCAACATCACCATCATCATCATCCATCATCATCATCTTTTTCTTTTCCTCCTCCTTCCTCCTCCTTTTCAATGCTTGTTTTCTCTGTTCTTCTGTCTTTTTCCTGACTGTTTGTGTGTCTGTCCTCCAGTTTTATATTCCTTGTACCATTTACTTGTTTTTTTATGCTGCAATTTCTAATTTTCATCTAGTGCTCTTAGACGATACGATGCTATGGCAGCTCTTGGTGCAGCTGGAATGGTTGATATGCAGAATCTTGCTAAGTGGATTGGTAGGTATTGATGGTTTTCATGGCTGCCATGTTGGAGGAACTTAACAAAAGAATTGTCAAATTCTTTTGTTATATCCTCCAACATGGCCACCGTGTCTTGTTATTTAATTCTCTTGGGAATGGTTGAAAACCATCAATATCTCAAAAACGAAAAAAAACAAACAAAAAAAAAAAAAAAGCAAAAAAAACACAAAACAAAACAAACAACAAAACAAAAACAAACAACAACAAAAAAACAAACAAAAAAACAAACAAACAAAAACGATTTGATATACATTTGAAACTATGGTCTTGTTCTCAAAATTATTTTTTATACATTACAAAAAAAAAAACCAACCTCTTATTGCTAGATAAACTCAATGATTTTCATTTAATATTTTACTGATCCTATGAATTTGCTATCAAGAATTTTCTCTTTTTACCAAGAATTAGTATTCAGTATTAATCCTTCCTTCCCCAGTAAAGATCTTCCTGGTTAAGTGATTTATCATTATCATCAGTATGGTACTTTGGAGCATCAGCCTCGCTCCTAAAGCCTTCTCTTCTCGCTTTTTCAAAATGGCTGCGCTAGAAAAGGAAGAGGTTTTTCTTTCAGTTAGCAATTGTTCACATGGACCAAAACTACCTTTGAGTGTCAAACGATAGAATGTATCTATCGTGCTATTGCCTCGTGCTATTGTTTTATAATTCAATAGGTCCTTTTGGTCCATGTGAACGAGTTCTACCTTTTTCTTTCAAGCGCCGCCATTTTCCAAAAAAAAAAAAAAAAAAAAGAGTGAAAAGAGAAGGCCCTGGGAATGAGGTTGTTAGAGCATTTCTTTTTTTAAAGTCACTCCCTTTTGGAATAACTGTGCAATGAAGCACACTGTTTGTTTATCTAATCTCGTTTTATGTCACATATATGTTATTTTTCATATTCACAGCTGAGTCTCATCTTGATCCTAATGATCCTGCTAATGCAGATATAATGAGTATTATGAAGGTAACTATCACTACCCCACCCTTGATTTACCTAATATCCCATCTGTCACTCCCGTTATTATCAATAATTAATGGTGGCGTGTACTGCTTATTGTTTTCCTCTTCCACAAAACGTGCAGACAAAATTTAGTAAAATAGTCCCCTTCACAGTTCCTGTCGCTGTGTGCATCCAAGGTAGGCCAAGGTCCCGGCGCCATCTTTGCATCGAAGTGAGACGAACGGCGAGCTTGCAATGATAGAGACATGTGAATAGTTGTCCAAGGTGTTAAAAAAGGTCTCTATCATTGCAAGCTCACCGTTCGTCTCGCTGCGATGCACAGGGACGGCTACCATTCAATAAGATAACGCAGGGAACTGTGAAAGGGACTATTCCATATCGTTGTGACCTTTCGCTGATGGCATTCACATCGCTAATAGTGCAATTAGTGTAGAGTGCATACCATATATCCGTGAAAAAAAAAAACTAGCTTTAATAGCTTTTATTTACGTACTGTGCTAGATGGGTATGGATGGAGCAGAGGCACCCAGGTTTTTCCGTCTGAATCAGCTAGAAGCAGAGTCAGAGTTCGTTACTAAAGAAGAAATGGAAAGATCTAAACGATTCCAGCTCATTCATCTGAGAGACCAAGGGGTGAGTTAGACAAATAGCCCCGTTTTGATTGCTTCTATTGTCGTTATTGCTGTTGTAATGCATTTACCGCTCCAGGGTGGACGGCGTAACGGCTAGCAGGTTTTGTAACCCAGCCGATAGATCAAATTACTATTCAGAAGTTGATTTTCGTGGAGGGAGGAAAAACCGGAGAACCCGGAGAAATACCTTTGAAGCACAGGAGAGAACCAACAAACAACTCTACTCACATACAACACCAAGACAGGCAGGACTCGAACTCGGTGCGCATTGGTGAGAGGCGGCGCATTAGCAGCGTACGCCATCCGAGTTGGTGTTGATGATATTGTTGATTGCGTTGCTGTAGCTGCTGGTGTTGTTACTGCTGTTGCTGTTGTTGCTGTTGTTGCTGCTGCTGTTGTTGCTGCTGCTGTTGTTGCTGCTGCTGTTGTTGCTGCTGCTGTTGTT